GTATTGTCGTGGAGTCGCCAGCACCTCCCCTCCTAGGCTCTGCCTACGCCCACCAGAACTCGGCCCAGACGCCACAGCACCCTCGCAGCACCTCAGCATCCGCCTCCCTCCCCTTAGAGCGCCTCACACAAGCGCCTCTTTCCATCATCAACCTCGCCGGTCCTCCCCTCCCTAGCGCCCTTACGGGCGCCCTGCCTCCCGGTATCACCGGGCTTCCATCATACTCCCTACGTCACCACAGTCATTACGATTACCATAGCACCCTGAAGGACGTCATAGGTATTAGTCTAGCTACAGGTCACCTGATCGTTGGTCACATGCTTCATACTCACCTTAGGTACCAAACACGTACAAATAGGTACCTGGTCTGTGCGCACCTGCTCCAGTATATAGGTAGAGTAGATCCTGCACCTGTTCCCCATCTCGACCTCTTAAGTCATTGGGGACAGGTAAGCACCTCTTGTACTAGATGGTCAAGTCAATATACTTAAGTCATTGGGGACAGCTTTGGCCTTCGTCGCCGGCCTCCTCCTTGGCCTCTTTCAGGCAAGTTCCCTGGCACGCCCCTGTTGCAACCCCAGACCTCTGTCGGGGTTCGCTGAAGGGTGCCTCTGCCCTGTAAGCCCCTCCCTCTCCTCTCTCGCCTCCTCCCATCGTCGTCCCCGCACGGACTCGGCGTGGGCCAGCACCACCTCCGTAAGCAGGTCGGTCCGCTGTCGTCCCTCGTCCCGGGCCTCCGCGACACCTACGTCACCACAGTCATTACAATTACTATAGCACCCTGAAGGACGTCATAGGTATTAGTCTAGCTACAGGTCACCTGATCGTTGGTCACATGCTTCATACTCACCCTAGGTACCAAACACGTACAAATAGATACCTGGTCTGTGCGCACCTGCTCCAGTATATAGGTAGAGTAGATCCTGCACCTGTTCCCCATCTCGACCTCTTAAGTCATTGGGGACAGGTAAGCACCTCTTGTACTAGATGGTCAAGTCAATATACTTAAGTCATTGGGGACAGCTTTGGCCTTCGTCGCCGGCCTCCTCCTTGGCCTCTTCCAGGCTAGTTCCCTGGCACGCCCCTGTCGCAACCCCAGACCTCTGTCGGGGTTCGCTGAAGGGTGCCTCTGCCCTGTAAGCCCCTCTCCCTCCTCTCTCACCTCCTCCCATCGTCGTCCCCGCACGGACTCGGCGTGGGCCAGCACCACCTCCGTAAGCAGGTCGGTCCGCTGTCGTCCCTCGTCCCGGGCCTCCGCGACAAAGGTGTTGACGCGCGCTCGGGGGTCGAGCTTTCTATCCGCCGCCTGTATGGCATTCGCAAGGAGAACATCCGCCAGGTATGCCCAGGTCGGGCGGGCGGGCGAGGTGTCCACGTACGCCTTCAGCCACATCAGGTCGATGGCGTCATTACGAGCGCGAACATCTAGTAGGTTTAGTCCCCCGCTCTCCAGAGGGTCCTGTAGGACGGCCATACTCACCGTCGGGCGCCCGCCATTTTTCCAGACAAACTCAGAGACCGCGCGCTCCAGCGTTTGCTCGACTGCCGGTGGCATCGTCTGCGCGCGCGCCAGGAATTGCGTGCAACCGCCGACTTCCATACCCACGATGAGCTTACGTCCGTACATGCTCGGGTTCCTAAGACCCCACCTCTCAAGATTACGGCGGATCGTATCCACCATGGGACCCCACACCGCTTCCTGGTCGACCTGGTTCCCTATCCACGCGCCGAGGACTCTGACCGGTTGCTTATCGGGCACGATTTTTACGCCACCTGGCAACGCGGGCCCGCCGACCGTGAGTTGCCGAGTCTGTACTACTCGTTCGCGATACGACTTACTCCCTACAGGGAGGACTTCAGTCTTATCGTCATTGAACTTCGCGCGCGAGGCCGCGCGCCATTTGCACAGAATCGCCATGAGGTCCTCAAAAGAGTCAGTTTCAGCGAGGAACGCGGTCGTGTCGTCGGCGAAGAGTGCTGACACTAGTTTTTCAGCTTTCCCCGGGACCGAGAAGCCTCGGATGGAGGAGGCACGTAGGGCGGCCGCCAGCGGTTCGATGGCGAGGTCGAACAGTAGACAGGATAGCGGGTCGCCCTGACGGACACCTCTAGTGATGGCAAACGAACGGCTCAGTGTGCCATTCACCATCACCGCGCTCGTCGCTGCTGAGTACAGGGCTCGCACAGTAGAGATGAACGACTCCGGGAAGTTCATGTGCCGGAGCGTGGCCCATAGGTAAGTATGATCAATTCGGTCATACGTCTTCTCTTGGTCCAAAGCGACAATAACACCGTTGTTTTCTTCCGCCTCAGCATATTCAACTAAGAGGGATGCCAGTTTAATATGGTTAAAGATACTTCGGCCTGGTACAAACCCCACCTGGTCAGGATGTATAACATCGGGTGCACACGCTGAAAGCTTGGCCGTGAGTGCTTTTGTCATTATTTTGTAGTCCGCGTTCAGAACCGTTATTGGCCGATAGTTTGTTATCTCTCTCGGGTCCTTCTTCTTGTATATGGGGCACACCCATCCTTCTGCAAACGGCGTTTCCGCAGCTACACCGTGCACTTCAATGTCGTTGAAGACCACCCTCATCATCCTCACAACGTCAAGAGCAGGTTTCCCACACGTCACCGCTGTCTCGTGCCACTGCATGTACGCCAGCCAGAATTCAGTGGGAATTCCGTCGCGTCCAGCCGCCTTGTGCCTGCCCGAGTGCTTCATCGCCATTCGGACATGTGCATCGGTCAGACGGGCAGCCATTGCTGCTTTCTGCGCTCCCGACAGGCGAGCCTCCTCGCATTCCAGGGCCTGCGCGATTACCTCGTCATGTTGAACGCCCACCGGCAGCGGGTCAGAGCGCTGTAGGTCGTCATAGAAGGTACGTGCGATTTCGCACATCTCCTTGGTGCTGTTCGCGTACCCCGCGCCTCCCCCGATACGGCGCATCTCGTACATAATACTGTCCGGCTTCGGCGGCGCATTCTGCCTTGTCCAGTATCTCCCGATTTTCTCTCCATTAGCCCAGTCTTTTGCATGCACAGCCATTCGGCGGTTTCCAAAGCGGTTCGCCTCCAGCCTTTGGACGTGCTCCTGTAGGAGCGCAACCGTCTCCGCGGCAGCCGCGTTCTCCTCTAACGACGGCACATCAGCACTCTGTAGGGCCTGCACCTGTTCTCGAAGGTGCGTTATTTTCTTGTCTAGTTTGGGGACCCATTCCTTGACTCGTTTCCGCGCCGCGTCCGCCAGCGACCTTTTGAAGTCGTCAAAGAGAAGCTGCGGGTTCTCAGTCTCCGTCCGCTCGCCCAAACAGGCCATTTTGGACGTTAGGTCCATTCCCATTCGTTTCATCGTTCCGACGAACTTTGCGTCATCCAGGAGCGAGAGGGGCGCGGACCAGCGCCCCTTCCCTACTACCGGTGCGTGATAATTTGCGATGGAGCATATAACTAACTGATGGTCGGACAGTCTGCCTGGGCCAACGGCCAGCCAGTCCGCCACCTTCGGGATAATGGACTGCTTCACATAAATACGGTCCAGTCTCGACTGCCGCTCACCCCCCGCCTGCCTAAAGGTGAAGAGACGTTCGGTCGGGTGTGCGCCCCGCCATGAGTCGTGCGCATTTATACACTTCAGCATCCGGGCGAGAGCCTCAGTGGCACTCGCCGGGTCCGAGTGCGCCGGGTACCGGTCAAGGGCACTCTCGACGACATTGAAGTCACCCAGCACAACGTCAGGCTTCATGCAGCCACGTTCTGTCCAGGAGGCACGCAGGTCCGTCCAAAATTTCTCGTTTTCCGCGACGGCATTCGGTGCGTACACATTTAGCAGCGTAATTGATTTACTCGCCGACCACGGGTACTCAATCTGCATCGCCCGCCCAGGGACTACTTCTCGTATAACACATTTTCGTCCTGCTAGCCGTCGCTTGTTAACAACAAGGGCCACGCCGCGGGCCCCCGTGCTATTCTCCGGGTCTGGGGAACAGTGTATCTCAAGGGACGTTGCAAACAAGGCGTTCAGGGCCTCCAGGCGTTCGTCCGACAGGTGGGCCTCTTGGATAGCTAGGATAGCCAGATTTTGGTCGCGTACGACTTGATTTATATACATCCACTTATCAGAGGCACCCCCCGGGGCCGCCGCACCGAAACCTTTTATGTTCAAGGTTCCAATTCGCAGGCGCGCCGTGGTACGCGTCCTCGGGCGGCCGCCAGAGGTGCCGGGTTGTTCCAAGTTGCGTGGCTCGCGGACAGCGAGCCGCCTACTACCAATCTCGTCCAGTCGGTCACTCATCCCTGCGGCAGCAGGCAAGACGCAGTTCTGTCGCGACTGAGCGAGGCGCAAGGAGCCAGTATCCGTTTGATGGGCCGGAAGTGTGTGGGTTGTAAAGTTTGTGTGGTTCGCAGTCGGAGTAGCCCGCCGGGGGTTCGACCATTTCACCCTGGCGGCGATGGTTATGCCCACCATCCGGGCGGCAGGCGCAGTAAGTTGAGGCTTACTGCGTACGTGAGCAGCGCTGCCAGCCTAAATAGGCCGCTGCTGGCCAATGCGGCATTCCGTCCTCAAACGGTAAATCAGCCTCCGGATGAGACAACCAAGCGTGTATTTATGAGATGAGATATTAGTGCTAATAGGAAAGTTCTGAGGGGAGGGGGCGCGACAGTTGCGGCGGTGGTGAGATACATGTGCAGAGGCCATAGGCGGGCGGAGAGCGGGAGGGCGGGCGCGAGGGCACAAGGGCCGTGCACACGCGCGCGCGCACTCGTACACGTCAGGCCTCGCACTGCGGCCGGGCGGAGAGAGGAGACAGGGGAGGGGGGGGAGGGGGTGCGCCCGCTCGACGCGTGCGCCATCCTTCCCCGAGTGCGTACGCGTCCTACATGTACGGTTCACGGTCGTAGTGGTTACCGTCATATCCGTCGCGCCCGCGCTTGCCGCCATTCCCTTTGCCTCCACCATTTCCGCCGCCATTCCCGCCGCCGTTACCGTTGCCATTACCAACCCCACGGCGCCCATTGCCTTGGCGGCCTCCGCCGCCGCCTCCACGGTTTGAGTTGGACGAGCCGCGCCCACGCATCGACCTGTTAAAGGTGGACGGTCCCGCTACGTCGCCCTGCGCTGTGAGACTGCTGGGGCCAAGGTCCGTGGTGTCGCGCGCGGGCTGCGGGCGAGGGCGCGGGCGTGGCGGGGGCGCGTTCCACCCCGGGAGGAGGGGCAGTGGGCAGAGCTCAGTGGAGTGGGCGGCGCTGTGGCACCCCGCGCAGAGTGCCAGTTGCGCGACAGTCGCAATCTGGTCACCAAAACGGAAGGAGGCGCGGCGGACGGTGTCGCGCCACTCGCGCCAGTCGCTGACGGTCGCCGCGGGAGAGTCGCAGTACACCGCCGCCACCAGACTGTTGTCGTCGAGGGTGGTCACATGGACCCGAAGCGAGCTTAGGATGATGTTTGCGGCTTCTTCAGTGCCCATCCCGTTGAACCGAGAGTTTCCCCGAGCAAAGCGCAGGAGGGTCGGGAGGATGGAGGGTCCGTTGAAGGCCTCCCAGACCATCCTCGCGACGTCCAGTTCGGGGTCCTGGGTGAGGTCGACAAGCCGACACAGGAAGTTGGGAAGCGTGATGGCGCGCCGATAGGCCAGGAGCGTGAGGAAGGTAGACGACCATACCCTCTGGTTCACCACCGCGTCGACGACATGCTCGGGGACGCCAGTGAGGGTGAAGGTCGACGGGCTGCTCCGGCGATGCGCGGGGTGTGCCGCCACTGGCTCGATGACGCGAAAGCCCGTCGTGCGTGTCATCGCCGAGAAAGCAGCAGTCACGCCGTCCGTGAGCGTCCGGATCAGCCGCGGGCTGGGGTGACGGATGCCGTAGATCTCCACGAATAGAGTGGTTCGCCCGTTCTCCCGCCAGATATCCGCCACGCGCCCGCTCGCCATGCCATGGATCAGATGTTCGGGGTCGGGGAAGTCGTGCGGCCCGAACCCTCCATCTGGGGCTGGGGTAAACACGAAACCTTGCGGCGAGTACGCCTGCAGGGTTGCCATCTGCGCGATATACGTGTGAGTCCGCCTTGCTGTCGTAGCTGGGGGCGCGGAGGACGTGGAGGGCAGCTGCCCGCTGCTGTGCTCGGGGTGGATCTGCGACGGGACCAGGCCGGCTTCAGGCGGCGCCTCCTCAGTCACCGCAGGAAGGTCAAAAGAGACGTCTCGAGGCATCTCAAAGGACATCGGCTCCCTGTAGTTTGGCGGGCGGTGGCTCATGTTGCTGGGGCAGAAGGGGTCGACCAGCGGCGGCGGGCGAGGAGTGTCGTTCCTCGTGCTTGTGGACGGCGCGCTCCAGCTCCGGTCGTCCCAGCCACCCGTCCAGGGCGTCCTCGACGAGCTCGCCTGCTGAGACGCCGTCCCAGAACGCGCGGCGGCCGCCACCGTTGCAGAACGCTGCGGCGGTCCTGCCGTGGTTCGCGCGAGTATGGTGGGGCAGAGCTGCATCCCGGTGCCCGAGCGAGCGCGCGGCGTGGGTGTCGCCGAGAAACTAGGAACCTGGGGAAGGAAGGGAGGAGGCGGGTCGACGTTCATCGGCACATGCGGCGTTCGACCCGCCTGCGGGGACGGCTGGGAAAGGGGGAGCGACTTCCTGGTCCTGGCCGGCCTCGCCATGCCATATCCTAAGCGTGAGATCGGCTGGCGCGGCTGGGTGGATGGCGGTGGCACTAGGGAGGTCCGGCTAGGCGAGGGCGGCGGGAGGCGTCCATACTCTTCTCTATCCTTGGCAATAAGAGCCCGCGCCGTCGTGATCGTCGCCGGGTATGGTGTCGGCGGGTTCGGGATTTCTCCAGGCAGTGCGCGGCCGTAAAAGACGACGGCCTCCTCGCATTCCGGCGACGGGGTGTGGATGCGCGCGCGTTTGCGCTTGCGCTGCTCGTAGTCGGGTACTTGACCAGGGAGCGGTTGCCCATCACGGCCGATGCCATCAGTAATGTAATCGTCATACTGCGCGCCGCTCATGATGCCCTCCGCTATCCCGCAGCTTAAGTCTTCAGCACACACGTAGCGGGTGCCGTGAACTTCGAAGCCTTCTGGGAAAGCCGGGAGCGGGGGGGAAGGCGGGGAGGAAGGAGTGGACGTCGCCACCGGGGACATGCGCGGGCTCGGCGGACCTGGCGGCCCTCTACCTTTCCCCTTATCCTTCGGCCCGTCCTTAGCACCTTCGCTTGACTTCGCCTCAGCGTTAGGCAGCCCTGGCGCCTCGCTGGCCGCGCTCTGCGGGTTGTTAGCACAGGTTCATGGGCCCCGGCACATGTTGGCTTACAGGTGTGCGGCTAAGGCCTCCATCGCCGCTGTGGTTTGCGAGCCTCATTCCTGTCTGCGTGCCGGGTCCAGCCGCGCCCTCCGGCGTGACGCCTGGGCCCTGTAGCATCGTTAGGCCGTGGTAGCGGTAGCTTGTGGGGCATGGGTCTCCGTACCATCAGTGTGCATCCGGCAGCGTTAGCACCGCGAGGTGGGCCCGGGGCATGCACCTGCATGTTTACCATGCGCGGGCTCGTGGGAGGAGAGGACGCCACAAGGGCGTAGGACCTGGGGGGCGGAGTCGAGTGAAGGGGGCCACCAGCCGGAGCTCCACCAGCGAGGGAACCCGCCGTCGTCGTCGTCAGCGATATGCTCGTGTCTGTCGGGGTCGTAGGGCGGGACGTAGGGGCCGCGCGACGGGATGGCATCTGAGCAATAGTCGATCAGAGGAGTCGGGGAGTAGAGAGAGCTGGGTTGTGCACCGGAGGCGACGCTGCACCACGGCGTTCGACCCCCTCCTTTATACTCCCTCCGCTGGCCCCCCGATGCTCCTCCCTCTTCGTGGCAGGCGTGCTGTCTGCTTTCGCCCGCCTTCGCGATTATGTTTCTGGCCGTCATTCAGCACGGACGCGATTGGGCGCGCGGAGACTCGGCGTCGCTCGCCAGTTCAGCACGTCTACGGCTATCCGCATACTCAGCGCTGCGAGTCTAGAGTCGTCAGGAGTCATACTCAGTTTTGGACAACTTAACATCTCGACAGTCCCGGTAGCATCGTAGCTCCAAAAGAGGATACCGCTACGAGCTGTGTCGCGCGTACTGCGGCCGGCCGCGAGCTTATTTTTTAGCGAGTGACTAACACAGTCGTCAGCCATACTGCTCCTTCGCGGTCATGTTCGATGCATTGTCGACCAGTCAAGACATACATACGCGCGTTCTACATCCAGTAGTCAGAGCCAGTGGGGGAGAGCGAGCGGGCCCCAGGGGTGTGGCGGTCGGTCAGCGACGACGGGAAACTTTCGTATAGGCCCTCCTGCTCGTTGGCGTACTCCGCGCTCAGCTCCCACGCCTCGTACCCCTCGGCTGTGCCTCGTGTCTCCTGCATGCCAGCGCTTCCCCTCCTTCCTTCGCCTCCAGCCCGCCTAGCCACCTCGCGTTCACCCGCCCGCCGAGAGTCAGCGGCATAGTGGGGCCGGGCCTGTCATGCTTGTTTAGTAAAGGCATGCGCGCGTCTTCTGCACAACGTACGTTTTTCACCGCCCCGTGCAGCTTGGGGATATCGGGGAGCTCGGGGACCCCGGCCCCAGAGGGACCCCGGAGGTCTCGGCCCGCCGTCAGCCCGGGCAGCCACGGGGCTACTATACGTGCGCGCCGGATCGGCGCCTCTTCATTGTGGTTCTCAACCTCGAACTCCACCACCCTTCGGTCTTGGGACTTGACACCAACTACTGTGCCCCAGATATCGAGGCGGAGGGCCGTGAAGGGGGCTCGGGTGGCGATGGGGAAGAAGGGGACCAGGTTCGGCGGGTCAAAGACGAGGAGGAGGCGAACGTTCGCCCCCATCTCGAGCGGGCGGGAGGGGCAGACCAGGAGCAGAAACAGCGCCTCTGAAGAGGTCTCTGGCGGCGCAACTTCAGGTTGCTCACAGACAAAGAGGGTGGTGTAGCTGAGAGCCATGGTGGGTGGATGTCGACAGCAGAATGGGGGAGGAGCTGAGTTTTATATGTAGCAGCAGATTTTTTCCAGAGGCGCACTTCGCTAACCTCTAGCGTGCTTAGGTGACACGCTAGCAGGCCACGGTGCCAGATCAAGGATTTTTTGTTGGGGAGCAGGTCATGGGAAGGGCATACCACCCGTCCCGCCCTAGGCGAGGGTCGAGACGCGTTCGCTTGTAGGCCCACTTATCATTTATACTGCCGCATGCCCACCTACATGCCTGCATTCACCCCCTTGCTCGCCTTACTGCTCGATTATGCAGTCGGCAGCATTTTTACAGCGAGTGGCCCAAAGCATTTTTTGCATTAAGCAGCCTAACCTCCTCGCTCAATCGGCGATGGGAGCGTACATGCCGGACTTGGCCTCCAGGGTTTGGTAGACCCGAGCATTCTCGGAGCCAGCGGCAGCCGAGGAGTGCGCCGAAGAAACGGCCGACCCCCGGTAGAGTCATCCTCAGGGCGCTCAAACACGTAGCGCCAAGCGCTAACTCATGCATCCGTAGACCCCCGAGCGGGCCCGATGGCCCCCTCGACATATGCATTCCCCTGCGGGAAAGCAGTTCCTTCTACAGCAGCTTGCCTCCGTTCACATTTAGTGGGCTAGGGTTTCCCCTGCGGTTGCTACGACAAGGCGATCAGCCCGTGAGTCGTGCCTTGTCGGACAGGCGCTAGCAGTGCCAGCTGGCGCACTGTGCAGCTCATCGGCCCGCACAGCGAGCAGCACTATAACGGCGGTCTCCAGGTACCCGCCTGCTCTCGGAGAGGGATTCTATCTGTTTTCAACATGTATATGGCATCATGGCTTGCCCCCACGTCGAGCCGCTCCAAGACTCGAGCGTGGGAAAACCGACCGTGGTGGTGGTGCAGAGGAAAGGAGCTCTTAACTCCGGTAGATTATCAACTCTTCCGCTCTCGCTCAGTCGAAGCAGGTGCCTCCATCGACCAGGTACTATGAAAGTCAAAATCGTCAGTGCCACGCATCGGGATCGAGGGGACGCCTTTGACTCACGCTTTGCCCTGCAGTGCGCACCATCTTATTTAGTTGTCGACATCATGCGCAAACGGAAAGCCACGCACCGGTGATGAAAGAGGCGTCGTCCGACACGAAAAAGGACGCCAGGTTCGCGATATCTTCCGGCCTTGCATTACGCTTCAACGCATTACCATCCCTGAACTAGAAGAGCGGGACAAACGGTCTCAGACCTACAAATAATACACGACGAGGGTAGCGTCTTACCTTAACTTTGTATGTTCCGATGGGCTCCCCGTTCTTCGTCGCGAAGTGCTCGTCAACCCCGGTCACTGATGCAATCCTCTGTTTCAGCACCATCCAGATAGGCCGGCGCGAATTGACACGCACATAGCGATGTTTCGCATGCGCCCGGCGCGTACGCGTTCACAGTGATACCGTACTGCCCGTAGTCCAGCGCAGCGCATTGGACTATAGCACGGACCGCAAACTTCGAAGCGCTGTATAGCGCATGCTCGGCGTACCCTGCAGCTTCCCTCAGCGTTCGCTCGGTATATCTGACAACTGACCACCTACCTCTCTTGCCCGCAATGGACGCCGCACCAACGAGGCGACCGCCGGTACCCTGCTTGATCATCTGGATCGCTGCGTACTTGAAGCTGTAGAACGTGCCCTTCACGTTGATATCGAGGAGCTTGTCGGCCTCCTCCGAGGTTGCTAAAATCGCCCAGACGTCAACATCGTATGCTGCACGACACCATAAGACGTCGGACGTACTCTCGTGCAAGACTTGGTTGATGCATATCCCCGCGTTCGCGATCATCTGTAAGAACTCAGGTCAGCAACGGCCCTGGCGCACCGGGGGCAAGACGACCTTACCGCATATACGCTACCAAGTTCCTGCACGACGGTCTCTACGAGAATCCGCACATCGTCTTCCTTCGACACGTCTCCGTACACGTTCACCACCCGCGCTCCGTGCGCGGTCCGGACCTCTTCCGCGACCGCCTCCAACCTCTCTCGCGCGCGGGGCAAGTCGAACAGCCCAAGGTCGTACCCGTCCTTGGCCAGTCGGAGCGCAATAGCACGCCCGATGCCTTCCGCCGCTCCGGTGATAATCGCAACGCGCTTCGTCTCGGAAGTAGTAGAGCTCATGTTCGTAGTACGGATGGTTGGTTAGCGTCCCGTGGGCGCGTGTGAGAGGGTACTTATACCCTCCCGCACGCGCCTCCTGACCACCCCCGTCCCTGGTCCCACCACGACGCCAGCATGGACACACCAATCTCCGTGGGCCTCCCCATACGCGACAGGGCTAGTGCCCCCTCCGCAATAGCCCCCTCGCCATCCCTGAGAGCTAGAAGGCTTGGCGGGCCGATTGCCGGCAAACGCGCAGCCGTATGTGGATCCAGCGCGCCCGCGGTGTGAATTCACAGGCCTGGGTAAACGGCCGAACACGTACTCGTTATGTCGCCCGCGACGCGCGTGGCCGCTGCTGGATGCTGCGGCTGTGCGGGATTGAAGAAGGTCGGGCTCCGAGGGGCAGCGCTGTTGCCTAGGGTGGGTGCGCTTCTGGTGGGCGGAACGGGAGGCGGGAAAGTCCGCGGCGACTAGAAATCGGCGAACGTAGCATCCCGCGTGGATCCGCCGCAAGCGATATCGATGGACTTATGTTCTCGACAGCGCGGTGGCCGTAGAGAGATGCCGACCGGATGCCATGGATGATTGGAGAGGGCTTCCGACGCAGCGACTGAGGATGCCGACCATGTTCAGCAAGACGCCGTGACAGCCGTGGAACTGCGAACTGTGGGAGGAGGTGCATTACTGGACGGAGCAAGTGCCGGCGCATGGTGCCCTACATCTGTGGACCGCAGCGAAGTCAGCCATACGGCGTCCAGTAGGGAGTCTAAATGTGTGTGGGGACACTTGCCGTAACTCCAACGCGAGCCTATGCGCCTCACAACGCAGCTTTATCCTCTGCGCGCAAGCGCACCTACGATTACCTGGCCACTGTGCGGCATCCACATCACCTAGAGCGCCGTAGCTGTAGTAGGGCAACCTCAGAAGTACTGCAGACGCGACTTGAATGTAACAGCATTTGGCTGCTACTGGCGGCTGCTGTATCCCTTCTATTCTTGTACTCCATTACGGACGCGACTTCGCCATCGCTCGTAAAGTCAATGTGACAGAACGAATGATAGCTAATCCACCTGGCGGCAGTTAGAGAGCCCGCGACGACATCGGTGAGAGAGGCGCAGCAGCTACGCTCACTGCCAAACCGTCAATGACCTTCGTCGATTCACCTTGCAGGTATGCTCATTTCTTGTACGGGCGAGCACGTTGACTGAACTGCTCGCGCCCGTACGTACCTGTATCAAACATCGTTGACGGCCTGGGCGGGGGTGTTGAGCGACGTAACTCGAGAGTCATCCTCTAAAAAGTATAAAAGCCTCACCTTGTGGGACAGGCCGTGCCTCAACTCGAGCTCCAGACTAAACAGCCATACGCATCTTCCCACATCGAGCGCCATGCAACTTCTCAAAAGCATCTACTTCCTTGTCGCCTTCCTCGCAGCATTCGCTGCCTCCACTCCCGCCCCCACCCCAGCGCCCGTAGCAGGAGCGGCCGCCATCGCGCCCGAGGCCTGTACCATCAGCTGCACCGGCACCGACTGCCACTGCTCCGGCTGAAGCGGTGCTCTCCGCTGACAGGTAAGCAAAAAGTATGTGTAGTATAGTGCTCAAAACTCACTATGGATATAGCTGCACTGGTCAGAAATCTGCCCCATGTCAGGCCCGGATCGTTGGGGGATGCGACCAGGGGGGCACCTTTTTTCTTGATGCCGGGAACTGTGTACCAAAGGTTCGGTGGGGTGTTCGAGGTGCTCTTAAGATGAATTCGGTGCCAAATACATAGGTTAAAGACGCGGACTAAGAACCGTGTGAGACCCCGTTTTGCGCTTACGGTGAGAGTAGCCTGCGCCCTTCGCTAGCACATTATACAGGCTATACGCAGTGATATTGCATACTAGCCAAAAATGCAAGCTGACGGGCGCGCATCAGCCAAACAGCTGAAAGACGTTTTATATCCACGCGCACCTGAATGAACGTTCCTTCAGCTCCAGCTGAGCCGGATCAGTATCGCGCAAGCAATGTTTGAATTCAGCCGTGCAAAGCGTCCAGTTATACGTAAGTAAACTGTCAGTAGGCTCGGTCATCGATACCCAAGGTGCGACTCGTTGCGATGTCTACCGCTGGAGACGTCGCCGGTGCGCGCTGGCCATCCGGTCGAACGCGCGCGACCTCGAGCCTTCACTCATGCTTGCATATGCATGGATTACTCTGTTCAGCCTTCTAAGCATCAGGTTAGCAACAACAGGTGGCACCAGCGTATGTTTGGACAATCGAAATGGCAGTGGCCGCCAGTGTTATGGGCGTTGCATGAGGGGGACAGAGAACAGCCTTGAGGAGGACATCGCCGCCGGGAGTCGGCCGGCGGTGTTGGTGGGAGTCTGGGAGAGCGGACAGCCACCGACGCGGGGCGCTAGTCCCGAAACGGGCAGGGAGACGCGACGGATAATTAGGGCGTCGCTCTCTCTGCGCTCTCCCACCGTCTCACTCGTCTTCTCCGTCTCTCCACCGCTCGCCCCACTCGCGCCCCTTGTCCTCTCGTTTCACATAGACTATCTACACGTACCCCTCGCCTCGCCCACGACGATAATCACTACCATGCCTTTCACGCCCGACGCCCAGCTCGACCTCGCCTTCTCCGCCGAACTCATCCCGTCCGAGGTCTCCAAGCAGCTCCCCGCAGAACTCCACGTACGTGCCCCGCCAGCGCGCAATTACAACCCCCCACTAACTCGCACCACAGCTGCGCCCGCTCGCGTCCACAGACTACCGCCGCGGGCACCTCGACGTGCTCCGCGTCCTGACCGTCGTCACCGACCCGGGCGAAGAGGCCTGGCGCGCGCAGTTCGAGGCGCTGCGCGCCGCGCCGCGCACATACTATCCCATCGTGATCATTGACCGCCCGTCGGACCGCATCGTGGGCGTCGGCTGCGTGTTCATCGAGCGCAAGTTCCTGCGTGGGCTCGGCTGCGTCGGCCACATCGAGGACATCGCCGTCGACAAGAGCCAGCAGGGCAAGAAGCTCGGCCTGCGCATCATCCACGCGCTCACCGCTATCAGCGAGAACAGCGGCTGCTACAAGACGATCCTCAACTGCAGCGATAGCAACATACGTAAGTGCCGCGATCGTCGCTCCGCTCGGGGCTTGTTGGCATGGGCGTGTTTGCTCATGGCGTGCCACGCATACAGCTTTCTACGAGAAGTGCGGGTTCCAGAAGAAGGAGAACGAGATGGTGAGCAGCGCGTCCCCCCTCTTTGACAGCGAGCTGCGCGATTCTGATACAGTGCTGGCAGGCGAAGTACGCCCCCACCGAGCGCGCGCAAACGCCGCGCCTGTAGACAGACCCGGATACCTCACGGACTTACGCACACGGAACCTAGACGGGCTTTCCTCCCTGGACGCACGGACTGCATATATGTATGCTCGTAGTATATTGTACCATTCTCGCCCCTACACGGGATGAACATAGTCGTAATGATCGTCTCGAACGTTCCTCCCATGCCAGCGCGTCGTAACCTGATTGGGGCCTGCAACATGATCAGCGCCACCCATAATCGTACCCTATGCTTGTTCCTGGCATCTACTGATCATGTTGCTCCTCCGACGCTCATGCTCGTTGGTGAACCGTTCAGATATCCTGGGTCCGGAGACGCGACGCGATCACATGATACTACGGAGGTCTAGCAAGACGCGACCGACGCGTACTAATACTATACGGTACATCAGTATCCTAAGAGTGACTTTTGAGAGAGGGATAAGGCATACCTGGTTGGTACGTGTGATGCACTCGGCGAGGGTGCAAGCGGTATCTGCGAAAGTTAGTGGGTAGGACATCGAACAGAGACTGGAGAGAAATTTAGGCGCAGGTTGGTTTCCCTGCCGGCGCACGAGACCGCGCGCCAGAGGTACTTATCCCGGAGACCAACGAAAAGGTCTGCGCCAGGACGGATGTTGCGCGGGCCAACATCCGCCCTCCCCCGGGACGTACCTTTGTGACCAGCAGCCTAGAGAGTCTCAGAAAGCCCCGCAGAGAAGCCAGACGACCCAGAGCACAGCCTAGAGAGCACAAAGTGGAGACATAGGAGAAGCACGAACGCGAGAGCAAGAACGCAAGAACAAAGACGCGAGACCAGATCTAAGACCCAGAGATCCAAGTGCAGACTGCCAAGCGAGAGGTGAGAACAGGCAGCACAGAGGGTACCAGACGGGATAGGTGAGACCAAGCAGTATAGAGAGTACCAGACGGGATAGACGAAACCACAAGAGCAAAACGATGAAGGAGATGGAGAAGAGGAGGGAGGGAAGAGAGCTAATGAAAGAGCGTGCAAGTCAGAAATGCTGTGAGACGAGAGTGAGGAGGACAGCGGGCTTACCGGGGAACACAGCGTTGTTGCGCGGGGGACACGAACGGGAAAGCAGGGGAGGGGGGGAGGGGTGAGGGCGGAGAGGAGGGGGAGGATAGAAGCAGAGATGAAAGGGAGGGTAGAGATGGAGGCACGAAACACCAGACTGGGGAGGGGAAGGAGAGAGAGAGCGCAAAGGATCGAGAGCGAGAGAGCAGGAGAGCAGGAGAGAAAGAATGCGGGAGAGAGAGAGCGGGAGAGAGAGAGCGGGAGAGGGAGGGAGCAGACTGGGGAGGGAGGGAGAGGAAGCAGAGGGGATAGAAACATGAACGCGAAGCTGGGAGAGACAACAAATCAGTAATGCGTGGAGAGCGACGTATGGAAGAAACTCACCAGGGAAGCCGACTCTGAATGCAAACAAATCCGAAAAGAAGAAACCAATAGACAGAACCACAAGAGCGAGAACGGAGCAAGGGAAGGAGAAACCGAAGACAGCTGAGGGAAGGGCGGGAGGTCAGATATGCGGTGAGACAACAGTGAGGCGAACAGTGGGCTTACCCAAACACATTATCATTGCACAGGAGAACACAGCGGAAGGAAGAGAGGATATAGAGATGGGACACGACAGGGAATGAGGGGGGGTGGAAACACGAACGCAAGACTGGGGAGGGGAGGGGAGGGGAG